ACACTGTAACATCATACATCAGTTTCTGTGAGGACATGTGTGTACCAACGAAGTCCTTCCGCTCCTTCAACAAAAACAAGCCGTGGTTCACTCCCAAACTCAGGCAACTTAGAAAAGAGAAAGAGGCCGCATTAAGAAGTGGAGATCGGGCACTGTACAAACACGCCCGAAACCAATTGACAAAGGAAATTAACATCGCAAAGAGAAGCTATGCAGAGAGGCTGAAAAAACAGTTCTCTGCAAACAAGTCTGCATCTGTGTGGAATGGCCTGAAAGCAATCACAAACTATAAGACACCATCCCCCCCCCCCCCAAGCACTGAACAATAAGGGTCTGGGTGATGAACTAAACATGTTTTTTTGCCGATTTAAAAAGGACACCTCCATTTCCCACATATGCCCACCTCTACCAGAAACTACTCTATCCACGCACCCACCCTCATTCTCTGCCCTACAGATCGACGAACAGGACGTGAGATGGCTCTTCAAGCAGCAGAAGATCAAGAAATTTGCGGGGCCTGACAAAGTGTCCCCCTCCTGCCTGAAGTCTGCGCTGACAAGCTGGCTCCGGTCTTCACACAAATCTTCAACAGATTCCTGGAGCTGCGTGAGGTCCCATCCTGCTTCAAACAGTCTACCATCATCCCAGTTCCCAAGAAACCAGCAACATCGGAACTGTCGCTCTGACGTCTGTGGTCATGAAGTCCTTTGAACGCCTTGTGCTGAACCACCGAAAGAACATCACCAGACTCTTGCTAGACCCTCTTCAGTTTGCCTACCGGGCAAACAGGTCTGTGGAGGATGCAGTCAACATAGGGCTGCAATACATCCTCGAGCACCTCGACAGCACAGGGACCTACGCAAGGATCCTGTTTGTGGATTTCAGCTCTGCGTTCAACACCATCATCCCGGAACTCCTCACCCCCAAACTTCTCCAGCTCGGTGTGTCCCCTACGATCTGCCAGTGGATCCTCAGCTTCCTGATGGGACGGACACAACAGGTAAGGCTGGGAAGAACAACTTCATCAACACGCACCACAAGCACTGGAGCCCCACAGGGATGCATCCTCTCTCCACTGCTCTTCTCTCTCTACAGCAGGGGTGCCCAACCAGTCGACCG